TTTTTTTTTAATTTTCAGGACAAAAATGAAGAGAGTGAACAAAGAAATTAGGAACCTTGGCAACTTCATGGGTCATCTTGTGCAAATCCATCTGGTTTTTCCCGAAGCCATTGACCATCTCGCCGAAAAGCAGGAAGAAAACAGGCATGGAGGACCCGTGAATGACGGCACCCAAGCTGCCACTAATCATCAGGATATAGTCGTACTTATCAGCAAAAGAAAACAGCTGATAAAAGGGGAGGCTCTGCTCCTTCTTCTTCTCGGCCTCCGCCGGCATCGCTTTCCCGTCACCGGCTTCCGCCATTGTCCAAATCGAGAAAATAATAAAAAGGGTGGAATAAAAATCGAGTCTTTATGAAGGAAAAATGAAAAAGAACAAGCTTTTAAATGCTCGCTGTGAACGGGCGGCGCGTGGGCTTATGTTTTCCGGCGGGTATTTCCATTTTCAGCAAATGGGCTGTGAGAATCTTAAGAAAGAAAAATGGAATAAAAAAAAAAACACACAGAGAGATCTACAGATGAGGAGGCTCACAGAGTGTAGTTATGAAAGCAGCAATTTTGACTGTGGAGTGAGCTCATTAATGGGTTCACTGAGTGTCTGTGTGTGTGAGAGGGAAAGAGAGAGCAAAAGAGATTTGAGAGAGAGAGTTGAGTTGAGTGAGGTTAGTTCACTTGTAGAGAGAATGAGGAAGATGGGTCTTTATAAAAATGGGTTCAAGGGAATCTGCAATTCTGCATATTGCCCCCACTAAATTTATGTGGCTTTAACATGTGTAATGCAAATTAATAACATAGTTATCTCACTGTCAGTTTCTTGGAATCGAGATTTGGGTGCTAATACTTGATGGGAAATGCTGATGTCTCGTTACGGTACCATCTCGTCGGGTATTTTAATCGTTACGGTATCATCCCGTCGGGTGTTTTAATCGTTGGATCCACGTGTAGTTAAATAAGATAGATGATCCAAAGGTTAAAACACCCGACGAGATGATGCCATAACGGGACTAGCATTTCTCTGGGAGGGTATATAT